CACCCCACCCCAAACTCCCTGCCATGCCTACGAGGTAAAGATCCATTCAGATCATTGACTTTGCAGTGCCCTCTGTCTGACAGCAAGGCTTTCCACATCCCTCACCCAAGGTCAGAGGGGAGTCCCTAGAGGCTTCATTCACGTGGGGACCCTGCAAGTGGATTTGGGTTTCCACTGTCGTCCATAGCCTTCTGCGAACCAGTGGTTACAATTTAAGCTCTGGATTTGGATTTTATCCTTTACAATCCGTGGGTCCCCCAGGTTGCTGTACTTCTTCCATGTGGACTTAGTTGGCACCTCACTGAGCTGCCTGCTCATTGGAAGACAAGCCTGTAAAACCTCAAGCACTATTTCCGAGGGCCCGGCACCATCTGAGTTGTTCAGAAACTTTGTTCTAACACCCACATCTTCAGGGATCTCTTCATGAGGGTGAATATGGAGTAGGGCCATGTCATAAGAACTAATTATTCATAGATTAGGGCTACGAGTAAGTTGTAGTCTAAAATCCATTATATATCTTTGATTTATGTATGTCCTGGTTCACTTTAGAAGCATCATTATCATTTTATAATAGAGTACATTATGAATCATCCCTATGGGGCATAAAGTAATTCTTTTGATAGTATCATTAACTTAGTCAATGGCATAGAAGTTTTAAAAATGGTTTAGAAAAGGAAGTTACACATGAATAGGCCAGCTTTTCAGACAGTAGGACATTAATTGTTGACTTATACAGATTACAAACTTCAGTAACTAACTGAACACTATTTACCGAAACCATGAGGGTGGAGGATAGGACAAAACTTTCAATAACACTCCTTCGCAAAGGCAGAGCCATGCCTACCCGACTGACACATCATAACAAAGCAAAGAAACATGAAAATGGGAAATGTATGGTAGTCCTGGGCCGCCACTCATTGGGTTCCTTGAAACAAGAGGTCCAAACCAAAGTCCCACAACCACGGATGCCCAACCCTTGGGAGTGTGATCATCTACTTCTCGCACTAGGGCAGCGGTTCTCAACGTTTTGGGGTGGAACGACCCTTTCACAGGAGTCGCCCGATTCATAACAGTAGCAAAATAACAGTGATGAAGTAGCAACGAAAATAATTTTATGGTTGGGTGGGTCACCACCACATGAACTATTAAAGGGTCATGGCATTAGGAAGGTTGAGAACCACTGCACGAGGGCATTTCAGCCTTGAGCCCAAGGGAGTAGGCCAAATCCTTAAATGTGGGACAGATGAGCATGAGGTAAAGCCTCGTTTGCTTAATGGGGTTTCCACATCAAATCCTTATGGTATGGCCTATGAAAGATGTGCGCCTTGAAAAGACAGAGTCTTGAGCCCAGTAGAATATAGCACCTGGTCAACAAGGGCAGGAAACAATATCAAAAGTGCCCAGTTAGGAACATAGTACCAGGCGTCTTCTCCCCTTGGCCTCCAGGTCAGTGTTGCTCCACCCGGTATATCCAACCAACGGAAGCATGTTGCTGACTCTGAAACTACATGCTTCTCTCCCTCACCTCTTGCCTTGAATTTCCAATCAAGTTCGCTAATCACGCTTAGAGGAGTGTCCGATGTGCGGCAGTCTTGGGACAATCTAAGGATTGCAGGGGCTTCTCCTTCTCTCCCCATCTTGAGAAGCAGACTCCTGCCGAGTTGAAGCTTCCTCCATCCACGTGGTCTTTAAGATGTACACATAAAGGGGGTGATAGAGTTCATGGGCACTGGTCAAGCACACTGCCTCTTTGCTTGGGAGACTGGATGAAACAATTACAGGGCTCGAGAGCAGAAACCTGCCTTTGCCTTGGGGTTTATCCTTAATAACAGACTCATACAAAATTTGCTGTTTTTGTGATGGATTAACTTCGCTCATCATAATGGTTTCCGTGTGTATCCACGCCAGGAGCTGTTTCATGGTCCCATCACGGTTTCGCAGGCACACGTAGTATTCTATTGTGTGTTTGTACCAGAGTGTCTTTAGCTATCCTTCTCCTGATGGACGTTTAGCGTGCTACGAGCTCCTTGCTGTTACGGACTGTTCTGGCTCTGACTTCTTCCGGTATGTGTCCAGAAGCGGTGTCGCTGGGGTGTACGGCATTTCTATTCCCAGTTATTTTAGATGGCGCCATGTTGTTTTCCACAATGCTTGTTCCTGTTTACGAGCCCACCGGCAATGTGTAGGAGTTCTAATCTCTCCCACCCTCTCCAGCATTTGATGGTCTTTGTTTTCTGCCTCAGCTGTATGTTGTTGGTTTGATTTGCCTCTCCTAGATGGCTCGGGATCCTGAGCGTGCGGTTGGTAGCCATTCAAGTCATGACTTTTCTTATTCATATCCTTTGTACTCCTTCGCATTGGTCGTTTGTTTTTTTTCTTATTGAGTTGTTGCAGAATTTGACAGATTTTACTAATTAGCCCCTTGTGTCGTGGCTAAACAATTTTTCCCAATCTGTGGGCTCCCCTTTCCCTCTTTCGATGAGGTCTTTTGCTGTGCTTAAGCGTTTTAGTTTTAGTAGGGCCCAGTCCTCTAGTGTGGCTCCCTCTGTTATATTTGGTGGTGCATGCGTGCCCCGCAGTCGTTCCCTTAGGTTAGTCCCAGTTTTCTCCTTCAGGATCTCTGTAACCGCTGAGTTTTACCTGCAGGTCTCTAATCCATCTTCAGCTTGTTTTTGTGCATGGGGTGAAGGATGGGCCCTATTATTCTGCAGAGGGAGATCCAGTTTTTCCAGCACTGTTTTTTGAAGAGGGTGTCCCTTTCCCAGGTGTTTTTTTAAGTCCTTTGTTGAAAATCAGTTGCCTGTCGGTAAAAATGCTTCTCCCACCCCCCTGGGCTATCTGTCATATTCTACTGGTCTATGTATCTATCCATGTGCCAATCCCAGGCTGTGCACCAGTTCTGTGGCTGTGTAATAGGTTTTGTAGAGTTTCTGCACCAAGTGGCCCACATGGTCTGCTATGCACACAGGGCCCCTAGAGGCCAGTGAGATCAGAGGTTTGGCTGGTTGGCTCAGGGGCCGAGAAAGGCTTGTTCAGGGGAAGGGTGCGGGCACATGCCACTGGTCCATGGTGAAGGTGAGTCCATCAGCGGGAGTTGCTGATCTCCTACTTGAAGAAACTTTGGAGTATTTATTTGGTATGTTGTTTTTCTTGCTTCCAAAGAATGCCAAGTTTTCCTGCTAGTGGCACCTTTCCAGTAGACTCTGAGGAGCTCTTCCTGTGCTGGTTAGCTGGCAGCCATATTCCCTGCGGCTCTTCTCTGTGCGCCCTGCCCTCCACCTCTCTCCTTACCTCCTTCCCTCGGGCCCTCTGGCAACCAGTGATCTTTCCGCTGCTCTTAGTTTTGCCTTTTCCAGAATGTCATATTGTTGTGGTCTTAGAGGAGGCAACCATTTGAGACTGGCTTCTCTGACCTAGCAATGTGCATTTACGGTACCTTCGTGTCTTATCATAGCTCATTTCTTTTTATCGCTGCATAATATTCCATTGTATGGATGTATTCCAGTTTGTTTACCCATTCATCTATTGAATTACCTCTTGGTTGCTTCCTGTTTTCAATCAACTGCAGTAAAACTGCTATCAACATTTGTGTGAAGTTAATTTTGGTCGACATAAGTTTTCCGTTAATTTGAATAGATACATAACAATGTGACTGCTGGGTCAGGGTGATAAACCAATGTACACCTTTATAAATTATTCCAAATTATCTCCCTCCTAGTTTGCATTTCCACCTGTGATGAATGGGAGTTCTTGTTGTGCCACATCCTTGCCAGCAATTGGTACTGTCAGCATTCTGGATTTCAGTTACTCCAGTAAGTGTGTGGTGGTAGCTCATTGTAATTCACTAATGGCATATGATGCGGAACATCTTTGCAGATGCCAAGTTTCTTCCATCTGTAGATCTTCTTTGGTTAGATGCCTGTTAAGAACTTTTGCTTATTTTGTTATTGGTGTTTGTTTCTTTATTGCTGGATTCTCAGTGTTCTTCGTATGTTTTAATCCCAACTCCCTAGTGTTCCCTAGAGTTTCTAAGGCTGTGTATCTTTATAGAAGCAGATTGCCTTGTCTTCCACAGAGATGTCGATGAGTTTGAACCACCAGACTTTGGTTAGCTATTGAGCTGTTAATTGGAAGGTCACCTGTTTGAACCCACCAACCGCTCCTTGGAATAAAGATGAGGCATTCTTCTGCCCTAAAGATGGGCAGCCTCAGAAACCCTAGGGAGCAGTTTGTCTCCATCCCTCAGTGAGTCACTGCGAGTCAGAATCAACTCGATAGCAGAGGTTTGGGTTTGTTATATTTCTGATAGGAGTCCTTTGCTAGAGAAGTGCTTTACGAATATTTTCTTGGAACTTGCACCTTGTCTTAAGGCTTACTCCTTTTAAATGAAGTGGCCATCCCCGCAAAGAAACTTTATGGGGCATTTGGTGGCTCCGGTGGAATTCTCGCTTTTCATGAAAAAGACGGAAATCTGATGTCTGGCAGTTTTCCTCCTGTGCGTCTCCCCCTCAGCTGTCAGGGGATAGATGTGTGCTGCTGAGCCGTTTCAGCAGAGGGTCTAGACTACCAGGGACTCGGGAGAATGGCTGGCAATCTCCTCTAACAACGCAGCCAGTTAAACCCTGTGGATCACACTGGTTTGAGCACACGGATTCTGAGGATGATGGGGGACCGGGCGTGGTTTTGCCCCGTTGTCCATTTGGGGGTGCCAAGGACAACTGCGCAGGAGACCTTAGAGGAGCTGGGTAACAGAGGGAGCAGGGGGCATGCATAGACCTCAGCGTGCACAACACCCTCTGAGGACCGTCAGCAGGGGGCGTGAGCCACTGGCATGTGTTTGTTCCCCACAGACACTCTCCTGTGACAGGAAGGGGCTGCTCTGGACCTGGCAGCTGGCCCACATCCCCACTGGGAGAGACCCCCCTCCCCCCCACCCACCCCACCCCCACACCTGGAGATTTGTCTGCCGGAGCTGACTGTGTTCTGGTCCCTCCTTTCAGATCCTACACTGTGGAGCACAGACCATGTCCGGCAGTGGCTGGAGTGGGCGGTGAAGGAGTACAGCCTCCCAGACGTGGACATCTTACTGTTCCAGAATATCGACGGGAAGGAACTGTGCAAGATGACCAAAGACGACTTGCAGCGGCTCACCCCGAGCTACAACGCTGACATCCTTCTCTCCCATCTGCACTACCTCAGAGAGAGTAAGACGTTCCCTTCCCTCCAGTATAGATGGGTGGTGGTGGTAGACACGAACTGCAGCTTCGGAAGGCTCCGGCAAGTTGGCTGTGGACAACCGGCTCCTGCTCTTGACTCATGTCCCATGTAGGCTCAGAGAGAATGAGACACCAAGAGCGTAGTCACTTAGAGTGGACGTCGCTGTGGGGGTCCCCAGGCCACATGGGCAGCAGTCACCTCGCCCTGTGCCATCACCACCGGGAGATCCTATATGAAAGGAAAATGAAACTTTATCTGGTCACATGCGATGTAGTCTCTAGGATGCTCTGAATCTGAAACAGACATATTAAGGAATGGTTCCTCCTTAGCGGGCATGCTGAGGTTTGGTCCTCCTCAAAATTGCACCACCGGCCCCCCCTCCATCCCCAACCTGAACACCCAAAGAGGGGCGTTCTTCCTCCCTCCCTCCCTGAGATATGGCTTCACCCGACAGAGTGGGCACGGCATCTCGGCGATTAGAGGCATGCACCCCAACGTTCGCTGCATGCTTTCATCTGGGAACGGCAAGCATGGTTCGAAGAAGCAGTGCGAGAGCAGGGGGTGGATCAAGTCCCCTCCATTGCTTTGCCTGGCAATTTATTTCCTCAGTTAAATACAGGAGTCCTCCCCCCCACCCCCACCCCCAAGCTAGGCTTTAACAAGCTAACACGTAGCAAGGTGAATGAGAGATGTTCAGGGTTGCCCATCCAGGTAGGGGGGAGTAGAGGGGCCGGGAGTCTTCCTCTTCCTTCCTTGGATTGGTTGGTTGGTTTTCTGTCTGAGGAAGGTAACCCTCTCTCTTTTTCATCGCGATGTTGCTTTCTGTTTTGTTTTGTAGCTCCTCTTCCACATTTGACTTCAGATGATGTGGATAAAGCCTTACAAAACTCTCCGCGGTTAATGCATGCTAGAAACACAGGTAATGCTGGCCCTGGCCTCCCACCCCCCACCCCCAACAGCACAGGTGCAGGGTCCTGTCTCCAGGCTGTATGCTTTAGGCCGAGGTAGCAGAGGGGCACGGGTCTGTGCCTCCTCGGCAGACAGTGGAGGGATGTCTTTCACTGCCCACGGGCTTTGTGGCCAGGCTGGAGGCCTGGTCTGAAGGAAGAGGGAGCCTCTGGTCCCTGAGTGCTGCTTTTTTCTCTCCCTTTGACCATCCGAGGGAGGGCTGCTTTTCACCAGGAGGTATACCGAGTCAGCCTTCGGCCCTTGCCTCAGCTCCCCTCTGCTGGGGTTATGAGCTGCTGCTCCTCGTCTTCGGCCCAAATGGGTGCAGCTGGTTTTGTAGAAACGAAAAGCATCACGCAGCCGGAAGGGACCCTAGCCTTCTCCTGTCTTATCTCATTCGAGTCTTTCATTTTGAATCGTGAAGGAATGCGCACCAGGCCAAGTAGGCGATTTCTTATTCCTTCCCCCTCGAAGTTTTGGACCATCTGACGTGGCTTTCGGTTTTGGGTGCAGATTTGGTGTGCAGTTTGCACAAGCCAGCAGCAGAGAATGGCAGTTGCTTGTGTGTGAGCTTCCGTTCAGAGGGAGAAACGCTGTCACAGTGGTAGAGGATAGAGAGCCACTAATGGAATGCCTGTCTCTAACCTTTGCCTCCACATGCCCTTCCTTTTGTCTTCCGCTGGAACCTAGTCAGGCCCTGCATGACACAGTGCTTCATCCTGGCTAACACTCTCCCGCCTTCCCCTCTGGCTCTGGGCTTTGTGGGGATGAATGTGCACCTGGTCCCTTTGCATTTCCTCCCTTCTAATGGCAAGAACTACTGAAGCATGACCACAAAGCCCCTGCCCACCCCTACCCACCCACCTGCTGGACCAGTATTCCCCTGAAGGGAACCTCTCCAGGGTTTAGGGAACTCCCTCACCAGCGAGCAATCCCCCTCATGTTCAGCCATCCTGGAGCCACGGGCAGCTTCCCCCCTGTTTCCCACGGCATGCTGCAGAGCGCAGTGTGAGTCAGGCTGGCGTCTCCCAGCCCACCGTCTATGGGCTTTAAGTCTGCAAAGGTGGGAACAACACCCACTGTGAGTTTGATTGTGCCCCTTTCTCACTTAGATCTCTGGACATGGTGGCTACAACTAGGCCACAACCAGCTTAGAGTAATTCTCCTGATTCTACCCTTAGAAAAGGGGCAAATGCCTTTGAGCTCTACTTGTTTGCTGACAATTTCAGAGTCATTTACAATTTCTGGAACAGTGAGGAAAAGTTCCCAGCAACCCCTGGTTTCCTGATTCCTGTCACTGTGAACCATAGAACCAATCCAAGAACAGCCCCAACGCATTCCGAACGGTCGGGACTGCAAAAAGGGAATTTTCCCTGCTAACAATATGAGGATTGCCTTAAAGAGAGAAAGAGCAAGACCGCATCTGAAGAGAGATGTGCATTATGTTTTAATCAGAGCCATGTACATGTAGGCAAAAGATCTGTCATTCCTGGGTTCTACTTTCCAAGAGCTCTGTAAACTCTTTTATGGGTTTTTATGCAATCTGGGGGGGGGGGGCATGATAGAATTCTTTTAATACACTAGACTGCTGGTGGGCCCAGACGAGGCTTCAGCAAGAAGCCTAGAATCAGCAACAAATGTGGCATCTCCCCGTCTTTGGCGTCTGTGCTGGTTCGTGTCCCGGAGGCCTGTCCTGGCTGATTCAAGGACGGGCCCTTTGGCTGTGATGGGACCGAGCAGGTTTGGCACTGATGCTGAAGCTGACAACCGCAACGAAAGCCCTTCACATGTTTTGTCTCTCCTTTTGTCTGCAGGGGGTGCAGCTTTTATTTTCCCCAATACTTCAGTATATCCCGAAGCTACGCAAAGAATTACAACTAGGCCAGGTACGCAAACACCCCCCCTGTGGTCTCTTGCAGTTAGAGGCATCCCAAGATGTCCTGCTGACATCCCTGGCCTAACTCACGCGATTCCGAGAGAGAGGAAGGAGCCTGGAGCTGAAGCGAGTCCCAGACAGTCTTACTCTGAAACTCAGTTCAGTCAGACTGCATCATCAGCTGATCCCACCGCCGCCCCCTGAGCTGCAGAGACACGAACTCCTTCCCTGTGGTGGTTGGGGGCCGTGCGTCTGGGTTGACTCGTAGCGGTCCGTAACAGTGGAGAACTGCCCATAGCGTTTTCTTGGCTGTAATCCTCCCAGGAGCAGCCTGCCTCCTCTTCTTCTGGGAAGTTTCCAACCGCCAGCCTTCTGGTTGGTGGCCGAAGGCTTAGCCATTCACATCACCGGGCTCCTTAGCTCTTTACCCATTGTCCTTGTTGGGTGCTGTCGAGTCCATTCCAGCTCAGAGTGAGCCTGGGTGACAGCAGTCTAGTCCCATCCGGTTCCCAGGCTGTAAGGAAGCAGATCTCCCCCCAGGAAAAGAAAGCCAGTTATCCCCCCCAGCCCCAGCCCCACCCCCGCACGAAGCCACTGGTAGCTTGAACCCCAGACCTTTTGCATAGCAGCCCAGCATTTAATCATTGTGACCCCAGCCCCAGGGCTCCTTAAGTCCGTAACTCGGGATCCCCAGCGATCAGTAAAGTCAGCACATGAGATGTCTGACTATGAAGACTACCAAGGGCGTGTAAGGGTATGGTTTCGTGAGGGACCAACACAAAGCATCAATTCTACCCTCTCCCCAGGACCACTTCCTAATCCTGGACCCCAATCACTCTGAGCAGAAGCAACTCATAGTTATATCTATCTGGATCTGAATGCTGCTGGATGCTTTCTTAGATGCTTTAAATTGGCAATTGGTTTACACACTTATTTTGTCCCTTCTCATTCTAACCCTAAGTATTTATCAAAGGACTCTGAGGGCCAGGTACGGTATCAGAATCAGGGGAGACAATGAATCGCTTTCTAAAACTCCGTAGCTCTATCGAGCTCACTTGTTCACTGAGCAGGTATTCAGCAAGTACTTCTTTCTGTGCCAGCCACTGTCCTAGACCCGAGGGGACAATGGTGAGCAAGATCAAAGCCTAGAGCAAGCGAGCCAGACATTGCACATACATATCTCATCTGAAGTTCTAGGGATTACAGTAGGGTCCTTGGTTGTGACCTCTCTTCATAGGGGCTAGGAGAGAAAGAGAAGGCAGGAACTCAACCCTCCATGTAAGAACGAGGGACTGTTAAACCGCTTGCCTCACCTATCCAGCCTGTCTGGGATTTATAATAGCCCTGTAAACTAGATTGCATTATGCCAGCCTCGTAACTGGGGACATTGAGATTCAAGGACTGGAGTGGTGTCTCCATGATTGTGCATGGATTTGTAGCACATCTGCTCAGACACAGGCTACGGCTCTCGGCCACTGTCACATGTCTAGGCTCTACTAGTCTCAGAATTTGGACCGGTCATGCTCCCAGGTTTGGGAGCTTCTGTCTGCTTGTATGAGAAAGCCTCGGGGTCATTGAGCTCAGCGGAGTAGCCTGAGCGATGCGGCTCCTCGGGGATGTTCTCCGTCTCCCACCGCCCTGTGACTCCAGAGTGACTTCACGCTGGCAACTCTCTCTTCCCCGATCTCAGCGGGAAAGGGGGAAAGAAAGCATGGCAGAAAGACGTAGCCAAGTGCTCAGTTGCCTCTGCCTGTTAGAGGTCTCACAGTGAATTGGAGCCAAGACGCATGGTCTCGAGGGAGCCACTCGGGGTGGCTTACGTAAAACAGGGGGAGACAGGGGGAGACGGACAGGAGCTGGGCGGGCACTGTAAGCGCTGCCACATGGACTGTCTCGCCGTGGCTGTGGGGTCAGTCCATCGCATTAAGTGCTCCCCTTGTTTTACTGGCTCTCCGCTGTCCCCAACACGAGGTCCTTTCCTAGAGATTGGCCTTTGCAGATGGCATGTCCAAAGTTCATAAGCCAAAGTGCCATCCTCACTGCCCCTCCCCCAAGAGTTTTGTTGGCACCTAATTCACATATCATAGAATTGAATCGTTCAGTTGTTAAAACATGTCAAGGGGGACTGTGCAATCACCACTACATCTATTCTAGAATATTCCCTCCCCCATCATTGATTTGCCCCCAAAGTAAACTGTGCAATTGTGATCAACAACAGTGCTCCTTCCCCCCTCCCGCCTTCAGTATTGACGCCCAATCCCCTTCCCTATAGCCCACTCCCTCCTCCCTCCCTTACATTCCCTTTAACACCTTGTATCAGTTATTGTCATTGCACATCTGCTCCTTCTGCGCTTCACAGCTGGGAAACCCCACTCTAAGAAGTGTTCTGGTTATATTGCTTCTAAGACTGTAAGAAATCTGGCATGCAGGAGGGGAAGGCCTGTCATGGAAATGGAAACTAGAAATATTTTATGCTAACTGTAGCAATCTCTCCATTTCCTGGTAGTAAATATACCCTCAGGAAAACAGGTAAGTTATGGAAAGGGTGCCAACCCTCCTTTTTGAGATAAATGTAAACGTGTCCTTTCATATGTTTAAATATGTAAAAGCTCTCTATAAAATGTTTGGCAAGGGCTGTTTGTTTTCGGAGGAGGTGCCTTGTAGTTCTGGTTCCCAGAACGGCTTCTTGCACACTACAGGAAATGGTGGGATTGAGGGGCTGGTAGCATGTACAGTATGCTTGAGAAGACTGATAGGACGCTCACCTGTGCTACAGCCAGGGAAGCAGGGGGGCTCATCCAAACCAAGCTTGCGTCACTGCATGCGCCTGTCCTTTGAGTGTGATCTGAACAGGTTCTGAGTTCTTCTGTTATTCGCCATGTATGTTTCTGAAACTCAATTTATATGATTTTGATTTGGAAGCGAGATGCAAAGATTAATATCTGAATCATAGAATTTAAATCAGTCTGAGAAAACCATGGAATTATTGGCTTTGTCATATTTAGGGATTTGAATTTGGAGATGTAGAGTATTGCTACAAAATAATAGAGACCTTTATTAAACAAAAATACCAAGATTTGAAGCTATCGTTTCCTGATGTATCCTCCATCAAAATCTATATGCTTCTGAAGGTGCTCTTTCCATGCCACCAACCTGCCCCTGAAGACTCTTGTGCTGTTCGATTAACCCGCATGACAGTGGTTGTTTTGGCATTCTCCACGGACTCAAATTGTGTTCCTTTTAAAGGTCCTTTGAGGTCGGGGGTGGGGATGTCTGGGGGCCAAGATCAGGGCTGTAGAGTGGGTGGAAGTGATAAGCTTTCCAGTGACATTCTCATAAACAGCCCTTACTACCCACAGAGAATGAGCAGGTGTACTCTTACAATAGAAAAAAAAAACCCTTCCATAACAGAAGCTTCCTGGTTTTCTTCTCACCAATGAAATTTTCAGTTAAACTTTCTCCATAGTAAATTCTGTGACTTTGTGAAAACCTATCAAGATTACTTACGTCTTTGGAATTTCCCCCAACATGCCCCACAGCATCCCATTCTAGTCCAGATCGAGTCCATAAGTCTGATATTAGCCCATATATCCAATACCAATCTATAAAGTCCTTTTCAGACTCACGAAATACATGAAATGGAAGAAGATCACAGGCCAGTGGGTGGGAAGTCTTGTGGATCCAGTGGCATTGTAAGCATCTCAGCGCTGGCAGGGGTCTCCACGTGGCTCCTCCAGATCAGGGCACTAGCCTAGCTCCATGTGTCTTGTCAGCTGCAATACCTCCCAGGAAGTGAGCCTGTCTCCTGCCTCCAGTGAGCGATTTATCGCCTTAGCAGCTCCAAAGGAGGTCATCAAACTGTGACCTGATTGACAGGCTACACTCCACCCCGTCTCCTAACTCTCATATTGACAACAGATTTTGTAACTACCACACCACTCTTTGTATTGAACCTTTCTCTGAAGGCACTGTAATGAGAGTAAGATAAGTGTGTTACCGAGAGAACTTGCCTGTGGCCATCCACAGATCCCTGAGGCAGGTTTAAACACGTCTCCTTTGGAATGAAGCCACGCATGTATGAGCTAGAACCCCAGTAGCGATGCTTTTTGACTTACCCTCGTATTTACAGGCCGTGGGTCTTTCATGGCTTTAAGCTCATCCTTATGTCAGCCTACAAGGAATGTTCCTGTACATGCAAAAACCTATACCTGTACACGGAGATCTTTGCGATGACTCGGAAGGAGTGGCTGTCGTCACAGTCACTGATTGCTGGTGCTGCATGAGAGCGAAGGGGTTGCTGGGAATCTGACTACACCCCTGGGTCAGTAGTTGTCTACTTTCAGAAGTCGTAGTTGACTCATGCTGAGTCCTCTGAGAGGGAACCCAGGGTTTCTGTTCCCCCACACTCAGGTTTGGCTGCCCATGATCTCCATGCCAATTCTGCGTGCTAGGGGAACATGGAATCCTGGTTAGTATCAGTGAGCTGACACTGAAGTGAGCCAAGGCCCTCGGGAAGGTCTGTTTTTAAGCCAGAGTTTGTACCTTCTTTAGGGCAGCTATTCCGTCATGAAGTCTTTGATGGGAGCAGCCCAGCAGTTTTCGTTTTGCTAGTTCCAGTTAAACAAGGACTCCCAGCCTTTCTGTGGAGTCCCCACCGCTCCCCATCACTCTGCTCACCAGGTCCTTCCCCTGCTTCCTCCTCCTCCTTTTTTGGCTTCACTACCCACCGGGGCTGTGCTTCCTTCCAAGCTACCGTATTGTTCCCTTTAGTTGTTTCCCTTTTATCCTTTTTCGTTTCTCTCCTTCTCACCACAGAACTTCCCGATTGGCTCACCCGCTTTCACCTGCTCTAGTCGTCTGGTCATGGAGTGCTGTGCCTTGTGACTTGACAGTGGGCCAACCTTGTTTCGGGACCTTGCTGTTGCTAAGAGCCCATTCATTTTCAGCTCCGTTGACCTGAATTCACAGTGCAGAGCTGCCCCATGGTGTTTCCTAGGCTTGCATCTTCACAGGAGCCCATCAGCGGGGCTTTCTGCCGTGGGCCACTGGGTGGACGCTCGCCACCAGCCTTGCGTTTAGCAGCTGAGCTCTTCACCACTGTGCTTCCAGGGCGCTTTCAGCACCTCTACAGACAACCCGCTAATGGACAGCCTCTCCCTTTGTTCAGGCCGTCGTGCCTCTTCTTCCCCCGCGTATTCCTTTTACTCGTTCCTAAGTCTTTCTGATGCAAAACTCACTCCCCTTTGTTGATGTAGAATCTGAACCAGTCTGTCCTCCTCTGCAGCATGTCATCACTGGAGATGTCATTCTACTTGCATGTTTTAGGAGCATGACTTTACAGTGTCATGTTTTGCCCGGGTGGTTGCTGTGGGACCCTTCATCTCTGCTGCACACATGCCCTTTGCAGCCACGGCCCTGGGAAGTGTTGGGGTGAAGTGAGTCTGATGCACACAAACCTCCCGGCAGCTTTTTGACCTCATGTTGTATCTCCTACGTGCTTTCTTGGGAACAGTTTGTGTACAGATGCTGGTCTGTCTCAAGGAGGACATTCTAGAACTCCATCCGTTCCTTAATCACCATGGCAACCTGTGTGCCATCATATGATTCCAAGGTGTTATTAGAAGAGCCGGGGGAGTGGAGCCCGCATCGGCAGGGTTCACTTCTACTTGAAGCTGTTGCATTTTGGGACTTGTGCAGGATCGTATGGAACTGGTGTAGGCATTGGAGCTTGCACCTTAGAGCTGTGCAGTGCCACCCACCACCCACAGCCAGAGAGTGCAGCTGCCCCAGGGCTCTCCATCACTAGGTGCAGGGGAACGTCTGTATCATAGCAACTGGCTGCAAACTCTCCCCTTCCTCTGCCCGTCATGTAGCGCAGAGCGCTGCAAACCTAAGCAGAGCGAGGGAACACAGAATGTCAACAGATCCCCAGGCCTCTGGTGGAGGGTTTTACAGGCAGCTCTGGGGGCAACTGAGGGAACCTTTAATCCTGTTCTTGTCAACTTCAGGACCCCCTTCGATGAGACGGCAGTGTTGAAGTGGTCACCAGACAGTCCATGTAAAACGTGCTTTTGTGAAAAGCCATATGCTCTCCCATCAACAGAAAACGAAAATACACAGAGTACGAAGTGCTCACGCAGCCAAGGAGCCAACCAAACTAGTTACCCTTCAAGTTGACGTTGATTCATGGGACCCCGTGTGCATCAGAGTAGAGCTCTGCTCCTTGAGAATTTTCAGTGGCTGATCGACAAGCAGGAGATCGATCACCAGGCTTTGCTGCCAGTGTACGTCTGGGTGGCCTGACACAAAGGAGCCGTGGTGGGTGAGCAGCTAAGCAACACCCCCCGGGGATTGCAGCCCAAACTTAGAATTGCTGAAAACTCTCTCTGCTCGGAGTTGATGTAGCTGCTAAAGAGGTCACCCCGATTGTCTTCTCAGCAGAGCTCAGTCCAACACTTCCAACGTTCTGTCCCACAGGAAGGGGGCTGGGCTCCCCAGCATGTGATAGGTAGCGATAAGGAAACATTGGACAGCATTCCTTGAATAAAAACAAAAATGCCCTTATCTGCCATAGCAGTATGTTTATGAACATGCTAATCATTGTTCATATAAACATCTCAACCTTGTGGCTAAAAATAAAACTGAGTTTGGTGGTGGTTTGTCTCTGACACCCTTTCAAGGCAGGGTGTCACATTGGGCTAACAAGGTAAGGATTTTCTGAAGAGTGAGATTCAAAATATTTTTCTAGTAGTATCCTGATGTTTAACTTTCCCCACTCACATTTGCTGCTGTTCAAGGTAGTAGCTGAGGGACCTCCTCATGCTTGCCACTAGTCTGTCATGATGCTCGGAGTAAAAACACTCGATCTTGAATTCTTTCAAGTGGTTTTCGTTTGCATTCACACACTAGATAACATTTCTGAAACTGGTATCTGTGGGAACACAAATACCCTTGCGAAAGCCATGGAAGTTTCTGAGCCATGGCTTCTCACACTTTAATGTTTGGGACAGAGTCCTTGGGTGATGATGCAGAGACTGAATAAATGCTCTCGACTGCTGTGCAAACAATTAGAAGGATAACTTCACCTGGAAGTAGCGTGGAAGAAAGGCCTGGAGATCGAGGTCTGAAAACTCTAGGGAGCACAGTCCTACTCTGGTGACCCTGGGTAGAACTGACTTTGCCTTTCTCCCAGCCTCCCAGCTGTTGTCGATGCTGCTGATCCATAGACCACCTTTTCAGACACGAGGATGTGGACCAAACGTCTGCGTTCTCTCACCTCAGAAAGCCCATATTGCAAGGTGCAAGCAAATGCGATATGGCCGTCTCTGGCTTCGACCTTTGCTGACTCAGAATGTCACATGGCATTGAATTAAGGCCCACACAGCCAAGAAGAACATGGGTAGGAAGAGATGCTGTAATGCGGCTGTATAGTGTTCTCGTTAGCTGTGGTTGAGCCAGCCCAGACTCATGGACAGCCCATGCTCAGTGGAACCCACTGCTGCGCGACCCTTCGCCTTACCATGATCAGGTGACAGATCAGAGTATTATGATCCATAGGGTTTTATTGTCTGAGGAGTTGATCACCAGTCTTTCTTCCTAGTCCATCTTCTTCTAGAAGCTCTGGTGAAGCCTGGTTCAGTATCGCAGGAACATACAAACCTCCATCGACAGACAGATAGGTGCACATGAGGTGCATTGACTAGGTATCCAACCCAGGTCACCTTCATGGAAGGCAAGAATGCTAGCACTGATCCCATTTCCGGAGAAGACCACATAGAGAAATAGCTTTTTTGTGTGCAATAGGTAGTAAGAATATGGAATAATGTTTCGGGGTATGTTTTGAAATGAATCTGAATTGATTTCTAATCCAGTTCATTTGCTGCACAGTTGATTCCAACTCATGAGGATCCCAGAGGTGGCAGAGGAGACAGGAAATCCCATAGGATTTTCGGTGGCTGAATCTTCCGGAATAGATCACCAGAAATGGCTTTGATCCTTGATGGTCACTAATTGAGCTCTCATGGAAGGAAATGAAAATCTGGTTATTAAGTTTGTTTTTGTAAAAATGAGGTGAAGGTGTAAGGGACAAAGGATGCCTAAGTGAAAGGAAATTGCTGTTTTTTGCTTATGCTCTGATGGTCACGGTTAACATGTTGTGGGACCAATAGTGCCATGGCTCTGTAACTTCTTTAATGCAATTGATTTTAGAGAAATTCTAAATTCGTTTAAGGAAGAAAAGGAAATAGTCATTTGTCTGGAAGATGAATTAGATGAGTTCAGAGCAATTGAATATAGTTGGGTGGACGTATAAAGGAAATGAGGGGGTAGCCCATAGAGGCAGCTGGCAATGAATGGGATAAAAGGGCAGCCACAGTTTCCCAGGAGGAAAGGAGCATGAATGTGCTGTTTGGTGGATTTAAGGATAGACCGCAAACCAGAAGCTGTCAGTTGGTTGATCCATCAATCAGTGGGTTCTGTCTTGGGTGAGTTCCAGAGATAGCAAAGGCATGGATTTAGATCAGTTCCTGTCTGAAGTTGGACAAATCAGATAGTAAGCACCTTTCGATTCTCATCATGGTCAATGGTCAGAAACTACTCTAGAAGAGTCCGCAAGCTCTCGGGGAATTTGTCCAAGTGGGTTTAGGTGAAAAATCAGGACTTTCCAGCAAATATTAAAAATTATAATTTGTAAGGAAAATGCAAAGTTAGTGAAGCCCAGGTAAATATTTCCTTGAATTAATGAGAATTCCTGTATAATATTTATTCTAATAAACACATTAAAAAACTGTCTATCATCAAGATAGTGTGATCAATTTTTTTAGTCAATTTTCTATGTCTTCACAGATTTACCATATGAACCACCCAGGAGGTCAGCCTGGACTGGTCATGGCCACCCTACACCCCAGTCAAAAGGTACAGTGCGGGCTCCTAGTGCCTTGAGTGGGTGTACCATGGGCAATGGATAAATGTTGATGGAGTAATAGTTGTCTGTATAGTTTGTCTGTGTTTTGCTAACACGTGATGGATGTGTCCCACTAACCACAAAGTATATCTGCAATTCTTTCTCGTGTAGAGTCAGACTGACATTCACGGTGCAAAAGAAATGAAGGATTGCGTTCCCTCCAGTGTGGATAAATGATTGGCTCGTGCAATGTTTGTGTGCAGATGAGCTGACTGGTGGTTTCCTTCACGCTGGCTGTGAAGCCACCAGGATCCTTTTTTTTTTTTCTGGTGGTTTCCCGTTATCTGTTCATTTCACATTATACTTTACTTTAATCTGCATCAGAGCCACCTCAAGGTTTTTTTTAAAAATATGTGTGGTATACATGAAACATAAAATAATGAAAAGTATCCTATTTTGTTACCATGTTTATATTTGGTTTTACTCTGAAAGGACATTTTTTTCCCTCTGCCCTAAGGTTCTTCTTACTAGGTTCAAAAGGTTATTCTTGTGGGATACCAAGATCAGTCGGCTGAGCACAGTGCATAAAGACAGTGCTTTAAACGCACTGGGTAGTGACTTGGGTCTTAAAAGCTTATGAAAACCCAAACAAACTTACTGCCATCAAGTCAGTGCTGACTCCTAGCGACCCCTGCGGGTTTCTTAGACTGTAATTGTTTGTGGCAGAACAAAGCCCAGTCTCTCTCCATAGGAGCTGCTATTGTTTTCAAACTGCCAACCACGTGGGTTGCAGCCCAACTCATAAACACTATGCCACCAGGGCTCCTAAGAGCTTATGCGTAGCCCTCTAAATTGCACCCATAGATCTGCCCCAGTCTGGAGCAAAGACAAGTGGAGAAAGCAGAACCCGCTCGGAAACAAATTAATCCTGAGCTTCCAGAGCGGAACTAGACGGTGCTTGGCTACTATACTGATCACTGTGAAAGGGATCATATTAGAGGGTCTTAGAGAGAGGGGGAGAAAACTGTGGAAGCAAACTCTATCATAAAAAGACGAGAGTTACTGGTTGGACAAAGACTGACTATGGCCCTTAGTCACCTCTCAGACCCGAAACTGATCTTACCCCAAGGCTCAATTTTCAGCTGAACCAATAAGATAAACAGTAACATTATGCGCTCCTTAGAATCATCAATTCTTTCAGATCAAAAGGGCAGCCTTTGCCCAAGAAGGAAGTTGTAAAGGCAGGGAGGGTGAGGCTGGAAAGAGGACTGGAAAGAGGAAACACGGGGAGGAAGTTGGATAGGAGATGTTACATTGTGGGGATTGCAATCAATGACATGGGGGGGAAAAGACAACAACTGTGAATTGTTTGAATGGAAAAGTGATTTGCTCTGTGAACCTTCATTCAATTCACCATAAAACAATAAAAAGGATTAATGACCAAATTAAACGCTGGAAAGATTGTACAACAGCATCAGAGCCCAGTAGCCCAATATGACTCATAATTGTCTCTTTTCGCTTTTGGATTTTTCAGCTGCTCAGCCATCGCCTTCTACAGTGCCCAAAACGGAAGACCAGCGTCCTCAGTTAGGTGGGTTTCTCAAGCCCCCCAGACGGCCATTAGAGGAGAAAGGGACTCAGGGGGGCATTGCTAAAGTGATTTGATTTACTTTTAGGGTGAAATGGATGTTATCTTGTCGTCTTGATGACATGCAGAAAATGGGGAGACAGCCATCGTCTGCTGCAGCGGGTTGGCTTCAGATTTTCCTAACCCATTTCTGAAGCCCGCGTTGTCAGTGTGCAACAGCAATTTTGGTTGCATGTAGGCAGCGTGGACACCTGGGCTGCTGCTCTGCCATCTCTTGGTTTTCTTCAGTTTAGCTCATGCCCAAGGTGCACCAGCAGTCACCACGTAGGCCCGCCATAGGAGCATGCTACCGCCTAGGTGGCACAGAGCAACAGAAATATATGGTCTCATGGTCTGGAGGCTAACCGGTGTCAGTCATGCTGACTCCTTTGCAGGAGACTCTTTCCCAGCTCTCTCTCCTAGCTGCTGAAGACAGCAGGTGATCCTGGGCGTTAGATGGATGGATGTCTCTCCCTCTCCTCCTTTTTCAACAAGGCCACCAGTTGTAGAGGCCTAGAAAACACCTTAGTCCATATGACCTCATCTTACCTCATAGCATCTAACCTAGACCTTATGATTTCCAATCAGAGCCACACTCAGAGGGTGAGACGTCAGCATATCTTTTGGAGAGGCACCTGGGCCCTTTTCGACAAGGAAATGCAGGGGGAGGTGGGTAATGTCAGTGAGGTGAACAGCACAGCTGATGCCTGCCCTGGGGCCCAGTCCTTGGTGGCGTCTAATACAGAGAATGGACTGGGAGTAAGGTGTAGGAGGATTCTCTGCTCTCTTGTCTAAAGAGAAAGAGACATTTATTTTGAAGGATTGCCTCACAGGATTGCGGTGCCTTCCAAACCCCAAACCCATCAGTCAGGTGGCAAACAGGAGATGGCCCTTGCTGGGTCACAGGATTGGGCGGGGGCTTTCAAGTTCAAAATCTGTAGGTCAGATTGCAGGATGGAGTTCTCTGTAGGCTGGCATCTCAAGATCCTTAGCCCAAGACGAGAGAGAGAAAGAGAGAGAGAGAGAGAGAGAGAGACAGTTCTGTTAAAATAACTCCTGATAGTCTGGAGGCAGGCCATACCTGTGGAGGGCAGAAACCTATGAGAGAAGGAAAATGTAAATATTGCCTACTAATAGAGAGTGATAGAAAGGTGGTCTACCTGCACAGCCAAGAGCAGAAAATCCATAAGACCTGGAAAACCAAGACAGTCCTGTGGAGTCCCGGATCTTAAAGGTTTCACCGTACATTAGACTACAGTATGGAAAGTGATTACATTCTATCACACCAACCATGAACAGTAACCAGTCTAGTTTTGAGCCAAACCACTAAGAATCATAGCCCAGTCAAGTTGATACACAGAATTGGCCATTGCAAGAGGGGGTGATGTTTCAGCATCTAAATCTGGACACGCATTGAATCAACATTAGGTCTGTGGTCACATTAAACCGAGTGATGGTCTGCGATTGTGATTTGACTGTCTTCTCCTCTACTACAGATCCTTACCAGATTCTTGGACCAACAAGTAGCCGCCTTGCAAATCCAGGTGAGATGCTGCTGCTGGGGCTTCAGTCCGAACAAATGTGCTGTTTTTAAAATAGCCGCTCAATAAAATAAACTTGTGTGGGTGAGAAGTATCTTACACAAAACCCATTATCTTTCCTTTTTTTCCCCCATGTAATTATTATTTTTTTAAATCGTGGCAGAAAATACATTTTCGTTTTAGGCCAATCTCGCGGGATTATTTGCCTCTGTGGAAAACTTGGGGCCACAGATACATGCAAATTTTAGCTTTGACAGAGAGCATGCCAACTGTTTTGAGAAGGAGGGCTTTTAATTCAAACAACAAAACGAAAGCTTTCCATCCCAAGTTTCTGGACCTATGTGCCAGGAGAGAGTGAAGATTGCGAATCGGTGAATTCTTGCCAGGGAGCATCACCTGTCCTCACGTTTCAGGGCCAAATGGTTTTATTTGTTTGCGGTCAGATCAGAACCAGCTGTGCTGACACTGGCTTCAGAAATTCACAGCATATGTTGCATGTTCTCAGCAGCATATCCAAGTGCCAAGCTGTCCCAGGCATATTGCAAGTCCAAGCTGGATTCTATATTTCCTAAACATTGATGCCAGAATTGGCTTGGAAACCGAAAAGATTCGGATTCAGTTTGTATCTATCCCCGCAACGGAATCTATACGTTGAGAACATGTAATGGCATTGTTATAGAGCCCCAGCATCGTTGACATCTAAATCTTTGCTGATGCTAATTAATAGAATACGTAATTTTTAAGCAACTGAGCAGCTAGCAGTGAGTGTTTAATGGTCTCTCCAGTCCAGGGCCTAGACCAGGTGCTTCATAATGATTTGTCCAACGAATGGATGCAGGAATAGCAAGACAGGGTCCCTGATAGCAAGGTGCTTGCTTTCCAGTGGAGAGACAGATGTGTAACTGGGCATGACACCAGTGCTGGTTTTAAGACATGAGACCCTAGCTGCTTGGCCAGGTCTTCTCAGTCCTTGATCTCTTCTCACACCTATGTCCAGCTTTGCATTCATGACTGCCACCACCATCAGTCAAATAGAAATTATTTTTATGCTTTGAGATCACTGTTGACAGTCATGAGGGATTTTAGGGGTTCAGTGGTAGAATTCTGGCCTTCTAGGCTGGGGAAGCAGCTTTTATTCCTGGCCAATGCCAGGGCATTCATTATAGGAGCTGCCTTTCCATGGAGGCTTGTCAGTGGAACTTGTAGACTAGAATGGGCCTGGAAGAAAGGCCTGGGAATCTAGTCCCTAGAATCAGCTATTGAAAACCCGAATGCACTGAGCTGACCCATAACCGATCATCGGGGTTGCATGGAACCAGAGGCAGCATATTGTTCGAAGGGGTCACTGGGATTCATTGACACACTTCACTGCCGCTGCACTGACCTTAGCAGCTGTGGCTCAGGAATCAGATTTAGCAGTGCTGCTCAGAATCAATGAGAAAAGGGTTGGACGCACAAACACCTGAGCAGGTTAATAAATAATATGAAATAAACACTCCCTGCTCCTCGGGGGAGAAAGAGGAGGCATTCTATGCCCATCAAGGGGTACAGTCTCAGAGACACAGGGACAGGCCTACCATGTCCTGTGGGATTGCTCTGCGTCCACATCGACTTGATGGCAGTGAGTTTGGGGTTTTTCTGGCCCTGCTCCTCAGAAGCCCTGGCCAGGGCTGAGTCTGTAGCCTCCTCTGTCCTCACCACACCCCTGCAAGGCCATTGTCCAGCCTACCAAAGGGCAATCAGAGGTTCAGAGAAGTTAAGTAACTTCCCCTGAGTTTCACGGCCAATGAAAAGGAGGAGGTAATATCTGAACCCTAACTTAATTTTCTTCAAAGTCTGTTTTTATTCTCTTGCCCTACACTCCCCTTGATGAAGCTTGGAGACAAGAGGACAGTCAGTGAGTGGGGACCTTGGGGACAGGAAGGAAGGCAGCTCAGCCAGTTTAACTATTTTAGTGTCCGGGGGGCTGGAGATGAGTGGAAAGAAGCCAAGCCAGACAAGCATCACCTGGCCCTTCCACTCCTCCAGCTGGCTAACGGACAATCCTTTTCTGTACACTGATATTCCTACTGCCAGCAAATCCACCTGAGTTATAGGGATTCTGAGACTAAATCTTTATGGGAGCAAACGGCGCCATCTCACTCCCACAGACAGAGTGACTGGTGGGTTTGAACCACCAACCTTGTGGTGAGCAGCCCCGTACTTTAAAGCCCAGCACCCCCAGCCTGTGTGTGGTAGAGAGAAGAAATGGGGGGGGGAGGGGGAGAGAGAGAGAGAGAGAGAGAGAGAGAGAGAGAGAGAGAGTGTGTGTGTGTGTGTGTGTGTGTGTGTGTGTGTGTGTGTGTGTCAGTGGTATTGCAGTGGGGCAATGCTCACCTTCTGTACTGGAGACCCAGGTTTGATCCCTCGGCGAGAGGAGGCATTCATTATTGGTGGGATGTTGAGCAGATTTTAGTAGCGCTTCCAGACCAAGACGGGCTAGGCAGCAAGGCCTGGATCTACAGGTAAAAAATGGGTGGATGAAAACCACGCAGTCAGATCTTGAGCTGCACAGGAGCAGGCAGCGTTCCATTCTACTGTGCCTGGGGTGCCAGACATATGTGAGTGCACCTACGTACAACACACACACACACACACACACACACACACACACGAGAGCGCTTCAAAAAGTTCAGAAACATTCAATTTCCCCACAAACATTTTGAAGCCCCCTTTGTGTGTGTGTGTGTGTGTGTGTGTGTGTGTAGCACACACGCTCACATTGTCATTTGAACCAGTCTTGATAGGACTGGTCTCGACATTGTACATGGTAAAGTCGAGGGTCAGTCAGAGGAAGAGTGTCCCTCCACAAGATGGATGGACACTGCAGCCGCCCCAGTGGGCTTAAACATGGGAACGGTTGTGAGGCTAGTGCGGGAGCAAGTGGCCCTCACTCTGCAATCCATGGGGTCCCTGTGGGTTGTAGCCCATGCACCGCTGTGGAGCACAGCCCTATCCTGACACATGGTACCACCCCGAGTGGGAGTCTACTGAGTGGCAGCTAGTGTTGGAGAATTCTCGCCTAGGGAGAACACCTACAATGGGGTGCATGTTTGTTGTGAACACTAGCCTAACACTTAAGGAAATTGACCTCATATTACATTTTACAATTGGCTGCCCAAGCACTCTCTGGTGTTGACGTTCCAAATTTGTTCCCATGTTTCCCAACTGATAGATTCTGCTGACAAGACTCATTCCTATAGATCCTTGACAGGCTGACAGACGTGATCCCTGAGGCGTCAGGGCTAAGGGGCGAAGCGGTCCAGTGAGCGAGGGACTCGTTCACCCTCAGGGCTTGGGCTTCCCACGGTGAACACTGGTCCCAGTGCTGTAGTTCTCCAGGCTGGAGAAATAGGAGACCACTCCTGTCCCCTGCTCCTCACCTCCACATGGGTAGAAAGGAAAGGGGTGAGGGAGAATTGGCTAGAAGGTAATGCCACGCTTTGGGATAGATATCAAGTGCTCCCTTTGGCTGTTGAACAAGGCCTGTATATTTGTACCAAATTGCTCTCTCTATGGGAGGAAGCTGACACTGAATATTTATTTTCAAACAACTATGTATTTATATTGAAACATATGTTAGACTGTTAAATCCTCAATCCATGTTCTTTTCCTATTCCCAGGTCAGAGATGGAATGTTTGTTTTCAAATTGTGATCCTTTGGTTACACTATACATACTAAAACCATATGGTTTTCTCATACCGATTCTTGCATTTTTCTAAACTCTGCATATTAACGAAATGTGAGGGAGGCAGCACAACTTGATTGAGAACAGTTTAAATATGTTCCCCCAAAGCCAAGGCCTCTGTTGCAATGAGCTACAAGCTGTTAATCCATCTCAAATGTATTGTTAGCATAAACGTGATTGCTTTCCCGTCACATATTCAGGAAAGGCTGCTCTTTCTCACATTGCTGCAGGATGGATGAATCCACAAGCATTCCCATGTAGTCCGAGCGGAAACAAGGTGGACGCTTCATTCAGGGAGCTCTCAAAAACCCCACACTCGCTGCTCTCGAGATCCCGACTCCAGTAACCCTCTAAGACAGGGTAGAACTGAGAATGTAACTCCTTAAGGGAGTCAGTAGAAAGCTGCTTTTTCCCAAGAAAGTGCTAGTGATTTCGAACTGCTGACCTTGTGGTTAGCAGCCCAACACATAACCACTGTGCCACCAGGGCTCTTACATGCAGGGAGCTAGTACGAAGGATTGAGAAGGAAAGCATTGACAGTTGCGTTTTCTACACCAAGTCTCTGAATGGTTACCAGTTGGAGTTTAGGCACGTGATCACATCTGAATGTGCTCACAGTATAATGAACGGTCTTCACTGCTAAGAAGCTGGAGACACTACTTCAGGGACTTGACAGCACATGGACAGCTCGGTAGCTGGCATTCGGGAGCTTCTAGAATCTGCCCAACACAGCTTAACCTGTCCTGGGACTCAGTATTACTCTCCATCTTTGCATACTTCTGGGAGCCGTAGCCATCCTGCCGTACTGTAGCATAATTGCTGGAATGATGTGCCTGGATCTGTTCTGATTTAATAAAACGTAAAGCCGTATCTATATGCCAGTGGGATCAGGAGACTTCTGGCTGTGCCCTCCAGCTGGATGAGAGCTCTTTGACCAAACCAGGGTCTCCTTTGCTTCCGCCTGGGGGTTGCAGGGGCTCAGCTTTGCCGTTGCTCTCGGGGAACCGCTACTGAGCCCAGCTGGCATCGGCGGCCCGCCAGAGCAACATGTGGATTTCCGTTACGATGCCTTTGCCTGAATACTGGAAATGGGCGATCTGGTTTGAAACAGAGCCAGTTTTTTTCTAAACTTCCTCATTCTGCGTGGGTTAATTCTGTTCCAGGAAAAGTTTTGACAGAATTGCCCGCCAAGTGCCAGCACAATGTTATGTTCAAAATAACGGTGTTTACTTCCATTCTCTTCTCCCCACCCCCCCATAAATTTCTAGGGTTCATTTCCTAAATCTGACTTTCCCTATGATTATTGTTACTTACCCTGGCCAACATAAATGCCATGAAGTCATTATTGCCACCCATCCCGTGGCACGTTCTGCCTCTCAAAAATAGGAAAAACGAACTCTCCCAGCCCTGAAACACCAGGTGGCCCAGGTCCCTCACTCGAGGTCAGAGGTGGGGGGCGCTTGTGCCTGGTAGGGAATCCTCAGCAGATCATCAAGAACTTAGACCCGGCTGATGGGCTGAGTGGTCACTAGTGTCCATGACCTAAAGTCAGGTTCCCAGGGCACAGAAGGAAAACAAAATTAATCAACCCACTGAGAGTCGCCATTCCGTTGAGGACCACATGTGTTTCAGAGCAGAACTGAGCTCCATCGGTTTTTCAAACCAAACTCGCTGCCGTCAAGTCAATTCTGACGCATAGTGACACTGTGGGGCAGGGTAGAATGGTCCCATTGGGATTCTGAGACTGTCACTCTTTATGGGAGTAGAAAGGCTCATCTGCTCCCCACAGAGAGGCTGGTGGGTTCAAACTGCCAACCTGGTGGTCAGCAGCCCAATGCACACCCACTGTGCCCTCGGGGCTCCTCTTCCAAGGCTAGGGCCTTTGTGAAGCCGATCGCGAGGCCTTTCTTCTGAGTTACTAGTGATGTGCTTATCTGTCTGTGCCACCTGGGGACTCCCCCCTAGTGACAAAAGACCCTGATTAAGGGTGTGTTCTCAGGAGAAGGCGAGTGGCCTCAACTGGACCCTTCAGCTTGCGTCCAGGGTGGGGGCCTCTGAAGCAGGAGTAAGTGCCCTGGCTGGTTCCCCCTGAGGTCCCCTGGGTCTGACTATGTCTGCTGTGGGCTCCTGCTCAGCCAAGGGCAGCTCTCCACAGAGAAGCCGCCACTGCCAGCCGGGGTGGGGGTGGGGAGTGGGGGGTGGGGGGAGGGGGAGGAGTGCAAACAAACAGAACCATGTCCCTTTGTGTCCAAGTTGAACTGTGCTCTAAGGGGTGTCCAGCAGCTGCTTCTACAGAAGTAGATCGATCGCCAGGCCTTTCTCGGAGATCAAGGTGCCTCTGGCTGGACTTGAGCCTGAGCATCCTTCTCCGAAAGAAGGTTGAGTAGAGGACCTGGCCAAGGTGTCCTGGGTGGGCCTCCCTGGAGCACCCAGGTCCATCCCTGATGGAAGCATGCGTGCCCTCCCCTCAGGCCCCCTCTCACCCTGTCTGTTTTCCCTTCTGGCCTCCGTAGGCAGTGGACAGATCCAACTCTGGCAGTTCCTCCTGGAGCTGCTCTCTGACAGCTCCAACTCCAACTGCATCACCTGGGAGGGCACCAACGGCGAGTTCAAGATGACAGACCCCGACGAGGTGGCCCGGCGGTGGGGAGAACGGAAAAGCAAGCCCAACATGAACTACGATAAACTCAGCCGCGCCCTCCGTTACTACTACGACAAGAACATCATGACCAAAGTCCACGGGAAGCGCTACGCCTACAAGTTCGACTTCCACGGCATCGCGCAGGCCCTCCAGCCCCACCCTCCTGAGTCCTCGCTGTACAAGTACCCCTCAGACCTCCCGTACATGGGCTCCTATCACACCCACCCCCAGAAGATGAACTTTGTGGCCCCCCACCCCCCAGCTCTACCCGTCACATCATCTAGTTTTTTTGCTGCCCCAAACCCCTACTGGAATTCACCAACTGGAGGTATCTACCCTAACACTAGGCTCCCAGCCAGCCATATGCCTTCTCACCTGGGCACTTACTACTAGAGACCAGTCGGAGGCCTTTCCCAACAGCATACATTCGCCAGCCAATTGCCACAGACTCTGGGAGAACCTGAATCAAAGTGCCTCGACAGAAAGGAGAAAGGTTGCGTGGGGCTGGGGAAGGCCCCCGGGGGAGAACTCCCTAGGGCTCTTAGAGGGCGGGAATCATTAAGGTTTTACTACCGAGGGGGGTGGGGTGGGGGGAAGAATGCTAGACCTATAATGTAGATGGACCTTATGTCCAGTGGACCAACCGCACAAAGGACACTGTAAGTAGAAGCGAGCTGTCGGAAGGACAACATGCCAAAGGAGGTGGTCTGAAGACATGTATAAACTCCATAGAGCAGCCTTGGGAATCCTGCTAATGCAAACTGGGATTCAACTAAAGCAATAGCGATAACACAAGTTTGACTTAACATACCATTTACCATGACTTTTTTTTTTTAAGCCAAAGGAAAACTACCTGTATTTAAAACTGGGAACATATTGGAAACAAGGGAAAGTAGAGACTGTGGCATGCCCAGGGACAGTGATAAGGACTCCTTGGCGTTGGCTGTGTTGGTTGAAATCAGCTTCTTTGCATTTGCTGGGGAGCTCTCTGCTCTCTCCAACTGTGAAGACCCCAAATTTCCGACTCCATTCCAGGATACCGGGAGCTTTGAGCCAATCTGGAGGGACACAGAATGTGGACCGAGCGCGCGTGGGTGATTGTAGACAAAGGCCGGAGGGGAAGCAGAGCAGGAGGCAGCAAAGACGGAGACAGAAAGTGCTCCCACAGGGGAGGCCGGACGTAGGACAGGGTGGGACTGTGACCATGAGTCACCGAGACTTGCAGTTTACCGCGGTAATCAGTGTTACACACCAAACCAGTGTTAAGGGAGAAGACGCAGCATCGTGGAGGAACAGGGAGGAGTAGAATTCAGAAACAGAAATAAGCATCTCGTTCTTTGTGTGTTTGTAAAAAAAAAAAATGGTGTAACTGGAATTGTCTGATATTTAAAAGAAGCCTCAGGACCTCCTCCATACGTGGGGGTGTTGTTCTCCATCAGGATAAAGGCAGAGGCGATCTGGGTTCCTGAAATTGGGAGTCTCCTGGGCGTTTGGGGTAGGCGGGCTCCAGTTTTCCTTCTCGAGACGCGAACGCTGTGCGTTTGTCAGAATGAAGTATCCAAGCCAGTGGGTTTTTGTTTTTCCTCCTTTTTATATAATAATTATATAACTTATGCATTTATACACTACGAGTTGATCTCGGCCAACCAAAGACACACCACAAAGAGAGACAATCAACGATATAAATGTGGCCTTGAATTTAAACTCTGTATGCTTAATGTTTACAATATGAAGTTATTAGTTCTTAGAATGCAGAATGTATGTAATAAAATAAGCTTGGCCTAGCATGGCAAATCAGATCTACCCAGGAGTCTGCATTTGCACTTTCTTAGTGACTGAGGTTGCCTACTAGAACCCAGTCCTGAAGACTGTGGTTTTCGTGTTCGGAGTTGACTTTGTCAAGGGGTGTCACGTGGTGGTCCCCTCTCAGGTGGGACTGCTCGGCACCCCCCCCCTCCCCCCCGCAGTCACGGCCTCTGCAGGTCCTTCTTGCCCACATTCCCACTTCTAGCACTTTCTAGAACTGAAGGACCGATTCACCTGGGAGACTCCACACTCATTCCCAGCATGGACGGCCATCACCACCTACTTCCAGCCTTGCCCAAACCTGAAGGCTCCCCACCATCGAGTCAGTTCTGACTGATAGTGGCCCTACTCAGCAGGGTGGACTGCCTGCCACCCGTAGGTTTCCCGAGACGATAGCGCAGCGGTTCTCAACCTGTGGGGTGCAACACCGTTGGGGGTCGAGCGACCCTTTCACGGGTTGTCTAAGACCATCAGAAAACATAAGTACTTCGCAATATATAATTACATATTTTCTGATGAATCACTATGCTCTAATGATGTTCAGTTTGTAACAATGAAAATGCATCCTGCATATCAGATATTTACATGACGATTCATAACAGTAGCAAAATGACAGTGAGGAAGTAGCAACGAAAATCATTTTATGGTTGGGGGTCACCACCACACGAGGACCTGTCTGAAAGGGTCGTGGTGTTAGGAAGGCTGAGAACCACTGGGGCAGCACTTCACGGGAATAGACAGCCTTGTCTTTCTGTCTCAGAGCGGCTGGTAGTTTTGAATAACTGACTATGGTCAGCAGCTCGAGATGCAACCACTAGGCCAGCAGAGCCTTTCCCTTGGCCCGTTAGGGGTCAGCAGGGAGGTCGGGGTTTGTGTGGCGATTGGAGAGGTCTAATAGGTACCTATACTTGCAAGCCTAAGCAACTTGGTGTGACTCGCTTGCTGAGTTGGCCCATTTGATAGCTGCTTCTGGGCTTGCTTTGTAGTAGTGGGCTCAAATATAGCCATTATGAGGATGGCCCAGGACCTTCTGGCGTGCCTGTGGTCGCTATGGGGTGGAACCGACTTGACAGCGCCTAGCAACAACAAGAGGGCTGGTTTTTCAGGTCATAATCCCTTTGGCTACAACTAAATGAAGTTGCCCAAGCTTGTGGCTGTTTTGGCAATGGTCTTTAAAGTCAGCAGGAGCCCATTTCCAAGGCTGGAGATGTTCCAAGTGATTGGCATTGAGAGGACTCTCACCATCCCTCATTCTGCAGCGGCCAATGGCAGGCTCACAGGGTGCCTACGAACTCCACTCCCTGCTATCAGGTCCAGTCTGGCTCCTCGCAACCCCAGAAGGCAGAGGAGAACTGCCTCTGTGGGTGCCAGGGCTGTCGCTTTCTGAGCACAAACAGCCTCATCTCTCTCCCGCAGAGCAGCTGGTAGCTAGCAGCTCAGTGTGACCCTCCGTGCCACCAGGATGCCTTCAAAGTGCCTGTCTCTCCTTATAAATAAAAAGCAAAACAAGCTGGCATCAAGGGACCCAAACTGTTCTAATGGGACAGGCCAGTCGCTTTTTATTTGGGATCTAAAGGACGGGCACACCTATGTTCTCTATATAAGCGTACATTCCTTAGATGATCACTCAATTGGACTCCTGCAAGATTCCATCATAAATACAACAATAAAAACAAGTCTGATCGTTGTTGGTTATAGTTAAGGTCTTCAGTTAGGTTTCCCAGTTCCCCTGGCACCTTTAAATCTGAGTATCCCATAGGAAATTCTGGGTGATGGCCACCAGGATACATGTACCAGAATGTTCCTAGTCACGTGCTTATAACAGAAAACACTGGACACAGCCCAAGAATCCATCCAGATTGGATCAGAGAAGCAAAATTTGACCTTTCTGTGTAATATTATAAACAGAGCATATATTATCACACTTAATTTTGAGTCAAAGAAGTATGATGGAGCAGGGAAATGCATACAATATGATGCATTATTTCTCTGGGAACTATTGGGAACCAAAGAAATGCTTTTCTACTGGAGTGATTGAAAGCCTGTGATCTGAGCCCAATAGTCCCCAGACAAATAATACATGGTCTAAGGATCATGCTTGTTTCCTGTGCTGATGCGGTAGAAGCACTACAGATGGGGTCTTTTATGAACAGAGAGATGTCTCTTCCCACAGTTTAAGAGGCTGGAAGGCTGACTTCAGGGCAGCGGCTCCGAGCAGAGTAACTCAGAGAGAAAATCCTTGTCTCAAGCTTTTCTGGGCAGGCGAATTGGATCCCTGTGACATCTATTGCATGTGGCATCTCTCCCCCCCTCCCCCCAATCATGATTATTTGCTTCTGTGCTTAATCCCCTCCTTTTAAATCTCAAAAGGCCGTTTGAAGACACACCTGACATTGATAGGTCCTCATTGACTTCATAAAGACAACCCACATGCAATATATATATATAAATATATATATTGTGTGTGTGTGTGGGGGGGGGTGTCTGGTGAGGGGGCTACACTTAAATCCCAAATAGATGGTGGAGGAGGTGGGAATGAAAACGAGCATCAAAGTCAAGGTAGTGGCTGTGCTGAGCGGGAACAGGCTTCATGGATGAAGGAATGTAAGACCCTGGTGCACTTCAATTTCTCAGTGTGCCGGGGCCCCAAAAACTTCATGGAAAAGAATCCCTTTATCTTGTCATTCTATTTTCCATGACGTTTTTAAAGTCCCCTTCTATAGTCATTTGAAATGCTCTTCCGTATATATGAATGAGGCCTCTTCCAATGCGGAAAAAAAAAAAAAGTTTTTCAATGAAGTGGCTTAGCAGGGACGAAGCCACAGCTCCACGCAACCCCAGAGAGCGTTGTCCCGTGTGCTGCACTGGGCTGGCCCTTTGCAGGAGGGCCTGTTTCCTCTCAGGAGGTTACTGCCAGTTCACGTTCAGGACAATGGGCTTCAGTATCTCGCAGAAGCTTTGGCTTCCTCTGCCAGATGCCCTCTGTTGGTTGGTCATTGTTGATGCGGGTCAGGCAGCTTGCTGCCCCTCATTAATGTGAGCACCCCGAGGGTGATTTTCCTTCCTTTCAAGACAGAGAGGAATGCCCGCCTCCCCAGGCGGAGGCTGTTGGAGGCAGTGCCTTGCTTCTGATGAAAAGAACATGCAGAAGTAACTGCATGATTTCTGGGAGGAGTTCATAAGGAGGATGTGCTTGGGGAGCACTCATGCTGAGGGAAGCCCACTGCCATGCCACAAAGAGTCTCACGATAGACCCCAGGCCACCAGCCACCAGCCAGGTTGGCAGTGGATCCTCCGGCCCGAGTCAGGCCTTCCCAGGACTCTGTGAGTGTCATCTCCTTGAAGACTCTGAGCCAGGACCGCCCAGCAAAGCTGCTTCTGAGTTCCTGACCCACAGAAACTGTGAGATCATAAGTGTTGGTTGATTTTAGTCACTAAGTTTCCGGGAAAATGGTGATACAGCAATAGATGACAAATTCCCCTTGCTTTCTTTGATCTACTGCATTGCATTCTGCCCACATGAATGTATTGCTCTAGACTTCCACTGGTTAGCCTGAATGAGACGCGATTGACCTTAGTGAGATCTGCAAGGTGCTCCCTTTTTGTCTGAAATATCTTTGCTGTCATCGTTAGGTGTCGTGTCGTCGGTTCTGACCCATAGCAACCTGAAGCACAACAGCAAGAAACCCTGCCAGTCCTGTGGCATCCTCAACAGTGTTCCTATGCTGGAGCCCATTGGTGCAGACAGAGCGTCAATTTATC